TGAAGCAGCGCGCTTGAGTTGCCGCCGAAGTGCCACCGAAGATGAAGAGAGGGAGCGAAGGACCCGCCGCCGAATTGCCACAGAAGAATGAAGCAGCGCGATTGAGTTGCCGCCGAAGTGCCACCGAACGGCTTTATCTTTTTTTTTTTTCTTCTCACTTCGCTGCTTGGGGTGGCAAAACAGCTGGAGCCGGCCCTGGACCAGTCAGCCTGACCTCAACACATGGAAAGCTACTAAAGCAATGTATAAAACCTTCAATTTGTGAGGACGAAGGGGTGATCACCAGCATGGATTTATCCAGAACAAATTCTGCCAAACCAGCTTGATTTCCTAAATTGACGAGGTAATTGGTTGGGGGCTGGGGGAAAGCGGTGGACATAATATATCTGGACTTCAGCAAGGCTTTTGACACAGTCCCACATGACATTCTCATAAGTAAGCTGGAGAAGACTTCTGATGGAACTCAAATGTGAAATTGCAGAACTACTAACTCTGTTATGTAACCTATCATTTAAATCAGCTTCTGAACCAGATGACTGGAGGATAGCGAATGTGACACCAATTTTTTAAAAAGGCTCTGGAGGTGATCCCAGCAATTAGAGGCCACTAAGTCTAAGTTCAGTACCGGGCAAACTGGTTGAAACGATAATTATCAGATGCAGAGATAAACACGATTTGTTGGGGAAGACTCAACATTGTTTTTGTAAAGGGAAATCATGCCTCATCAATCTACTAGAATTTTTTAGGGAGTCAAAAAGCATGTACACAAGGGTGACCCAGTCATTGTACTTAGCCCTGGTCTACACTGGGGGGGTGGGGGGAATTGATCTACACTACACAACTTCAGCTACGTGAATAATAATAATAATCTGGAAAAACGGGCAAACAGTGAGGTGGCAAGATAGTTAATTTCAAAGCTGACTGTGAAGCTCTACAGAGGGATCTCACAAAACTGGGTGATTGGGTAACAAAACAGCAAATGAAATTCAATGTTAATATAGTCCCAACTATACATTACCTGTTACAACTCAAGAAAGAGATTTTGGAGTCATTGTGGATAGTTCTCTGAAAACATCCACTCAATGTGCAGCGGCAGTCAAAAAAGCAAACAGAAAGTTGGGACTCATTAAGAAAGGGATAGATTCATAGATTCATAGATTC